ACGCCTGTTAGAGTACCTTGAATTTTGTGCTTCACTTTCATTCGAGTCAGAGGTTTTGGGTCAAAGTTTACAACTGCATAAAGTTTATTTTTTCTCTCATCTTTGCATTGAGCATGGTGATAGGAGTAAGTTAAATTGTGTGCTAGAGGAAAGTTAGGTGATGGGTATTCACAGATGAAGAAACCTGACTGTTTTCAAGGGCAGAAAGCTTCTCTGCTGATGAAGTGTTGTAGATGGTGGCATGTTCCTTCATGTGTCTTGCTCATTAACCTCTTTCTAGGTCTAATGATTTTTCTTTGATCATTTGCCTCGTTCCTGAGATTGCCTTTGACCAGATCTATCCCTCATATTGATGATCTTTGAGATTTCTGTTTACGGTTTATTTACTTTGCCCCCTGTTGTGTGTCTCTGCCTTCTAGTTTAGCGCATTACTGGCATCGCTGCCACGATTTGTAATTACACTTCTGGCTGCTCATTTTCCTCGGCTTGCTCTGTGGGCTTGGCGGGCCACAGTCCTTGCAGTGCGCCTTCGGTTTGCTGCTGCTGCTCCAGGAAGCCTTCAGCTCTCCTGAGCCCTGGATGGACACGCACACGCACGCGCACACACCCCTCCAGCTACAAGTTATGCTAGATATACTTTTCTCATGCAAGGCTCCTTCTTGATAATTGAGACAAGATTAACAAAATGAGCTTGCCCTACCCGCTTTCCAAATCATTAGAACTGAGTACATGATTTAACACCTAAAGAGAAGTGTCTTACTCACTGAGACCAAAGGTTAATAAGCAGTATTTCTAAAGTATAAAGATGCATTTGGAGGAAGAATATTTCAGTGCCGATTTTAATCGTCTTGGTTGCATATGGTACACATGAGAAGGCAGGTGTTTTCCTACTTGCGACAACAACTCTGTCTCTTTATAGAGACTGTTCTTGTCAAGTCACCAACTGGCCAAATGCAGTGGTAATTTATTAGTCATCTTAGTTGACCTATTAGAGCCTCTGACTCAGTTGATCACTCTCTCTGTTGAGACACTTTCCTCCCATAATTCCTGGGTACCCAAGTGTCCTTTTTTTTCTACCTCACTGATGCCTTTTTACTTTATTTCCCCAGCCTTTAAAGTAAAACCTGCAATCGAAATGCCCCCTCAGTTCCTGTACGTCTTTTTTCTCTGGCTACTTCTGGGTGGTTCCATGTAAGACCCTGAGTTTTATGTGCAGTTGCTGTGGTCATGTTTTTCTTGAACCTGGGTCTCTTATAGCCAGTTTCCTTCTCCACTTTTCTTCAATGCCTGTCACTAATAGATATTTCTAACTTAATATCTCTAAAACCCAACTCCTCTGATCTGTCTTCCCAAGCCTCTTTCTCCCATCTTAAATGAATGATTTATTTTCCACCTTAATCAATGATAATCCCATCCTTCGAATTGCCCAGGCCAAAAACCTTGGAGTCAGTCTTGACTCTTCATCTCTGAGAGTGATTTCTGTCTTTTTCCACAGCTGTATCTCTAGCACTGAGAATGCTTAGTGGGCACCAATAAATAGGCTTGGAGGGAATGAAATGGTTGAACAGGTACACAGAGAGTGAATTCTGTATTTTGATGTCCAAAGATAGAAGCTTTAAATTAGGATGCTTCTAGGAGGACAGAAGCTCTTTGTTTTCTTACCCTCATCTATTCCACAGAGAAGTACATTTTGTGATACTCTTTTTTTTTTTTTTTTTAAAGATTTTATTTATCTGAGAGAGAACAAGTAGGCAGAGAGACAGGCAGAGGGAGAAGGAGAAGCAGGGAGCCCTCTGCGGGGCTCGATCCCAGGACCCTGGGATCATGACCTGAGCCGAAGGCAGCCGCTTAACCGGCTGAGCCACCCAGGCGCCCCCGTTTTGTGATGCTCTTGAACCAATATGTTAAATGCAAATTAATGGAGATTATATAGGCTATATTTTTGGAACATCAAGCAGCATGGTGATTGTTTATGATGAATATTACAATGCCATTATTTCCTTGAGCTTCTGTTAATATCCCCAGCTGACATAGGCAAGGTACCCAATAACTAGTGTTTTGTGTTTGTTTTTTTTTTTTTTTAAGAATGAATGATTCCTAATGTATATTCATTTATTTATTTATTTTTAGAGAAACTGTTGGGGAGGGGCAGAGGTAGAGGGAGAGAGAGAATCTTAAGCAGGCTCCACACTCAGCAAGGAGCTGGCTGCAGGGCTCTATCTCATGCCCATAAGATCATGACCTGAGCCAAAATCAAGAGTCAGATGCTTAACCAGCTGAACCACCCTGGTGCCCCTCCTAAAGTACATTTCAATCTCAAAATTTTAAAAGCGGGATTTACCCAGTTCTCTAAAACCTGTTTCTCTCCTTGCATTTTATAGCTCTGTTAATGGTATCACCTCCTATCTAGTTGAAGAACAAAGGTGAGGCAGTCTCGTGAATTCTTCTGAGTCAACCCCATGTCCACCCAGCTGTCAAATTCTGTCAGTTTCTCCTACATTTTGAATGTTCAAGCTCTCATCATTGCTTACTAAAGTTCCTTCTACAGTAGCTTCTTAACTTACACTGTTACCTCTACTGTTCCCTCTCCTTTACATAGAATCCCTTGTGGTTTCCCCCATTTCCAGTTGAACCTGAATTTTCTGACTTGGCACATAAGTCTGTGCATTACCTGGTCTGTCTTCTTGCCCAGCCTCATTTCTCACGACTCCTTGCACTCCTCTCTCCCTTCTTACCCTTGCGAACTGCTCAGGATATTGGAATTCCTTGTAATTCAATGGAACGTCCCATGTCCTCTAACCGGTTAATTATTTGGATGCTTAGAACATCTCATCTCGGTCCTTCACTTAGGCTGCCTTAAGAGCCTTGCTGTTAACCAGCTGTCCTTGTCTTTAGTTTCTCCATATTACCGTTATATGTGGAACATATGTTCTCTTCTACATAATATATGTCTATCATTGTATCTATCTTCATGAGGGTAGGCAATATGTCTTGTTTACCTTCATAGTTCCTGAGCCTTTCCCACTGTCTGTAGGAATTGAGTTCAATGACATAGATGCTATATTGGAACCTGCTTCTGCTGGTATGCTATATTCGTGTGAAATTGTATGATCAAATGAGTCTGTGTATCTCAGTATACATGTTAAAAACCTAGAAGGAACTCTTCGATCTTTACCTTGATGATAGAATTATTTTTCTGTAAGGAAACACTACATTTTGCTGTATGCTTGTATATGTTCATAGATCTATGTTTACATGACATCTGTTAGAGTGGTTATAGGTCATGATAATGGCCAATTACCACTAGAATTGGGAAGGGATTTTAGATAATTAACTTAAATTCATTATTTCAGCTTAAGTCAATTTTCTGTTTTTCCTTTTTTAGGAAATTGCCTTTCAGGATGTTTCCTGAAAAGAATTTGGATTATCCTTCCCCTTCTTTTTCTTCAATTTCATGCTGCTATTGTTCTGCATATATTTACTTTACATTTAAGTCCTATTTCCTGCTAATTTTTATACTGCTTTTTTTGCTGCTTTGAGTTGTCTATAATTCATGTCTTTTCCAGAAACCTAGCCACTAACACTATCTTAATTGCTCTGAATGTAGAGAAACATTATTTAAATGTTCTTTGAGATCTTTTAAAACTGCATACTATTGCTGAAAAACTATTTGTGGTTACTGGGTAATGACTGGCAGGGAGGTGGAAAGAAAGCATTTTAAACTTTGTGACATGAGCCAGTTATAGCTGAATGAATGTGTACTGGTAAGGTAGCCTCTGTTTTAAGTTTATTCTTTTTTTATTTTAAATGTTTCCCTTTTCCCTATTTATCTTCTGACACATTTCCTTCCTCCAGTTTAAATAGTCTTAAGTTTTGACAGTAGAGGCATGCTGGTCAGATTTTAGTATTTAGACAGCAAATACAGTAATTACGATATATTTCAACCAGCAGGACCTGAGACCCCTGTTGGTGTCTTAATCCAAAAAAAGGCATTTTTAAATTCATATAAACCTTGCCTTAAGGGATGGAGAAAGGACAATTTAGGGAACAGCATGAGGTTAAACATATTGATTAGTAAGCCAGTTATTCTTGTTAGACTCTGATAGAATGTAGACTTAGAAAAATAACATCATCATCAGCAACAAAGAATACTTTGCTTCTGTAGAGACCATCTCTTTTGCTTCCAATCTCTTTTGCTTTGATTATATGGATTTCAGATAATGAAAGATAGATTTCAGCCAGGGGGTAAAAAAAAAAAAAAAAAAAAGTAGATCCACTTGGAAATTTGGAGTGTTAAATACCTGGAAAATACATGATTTTTACACTTTTATCATTTAAGGTATATACTAAAGGATTTAATTAGCTCTGTAATTTCTTTATGCCTTTGGAATAAACATGACATATATTATTTTTGAATGCTTGCCAAAGTGTAAGAACCATTGCTTGGGTAATTCTAATTAATTGTTCAGTGTTCCTAAGATAGTTTTTGGTTATAACAACCCCATTAACCGGATTCAGGACATTTGCTGACCTTGAAGTGTTTGGGACTTTAGGTTTCTCTTGATGAATGGCAAGTTACCATTTTATTTTAGGTAAGCATTATATATCCAATAGAGATCTATAATTTTTCAACTAGGATCTTCAGTTTTGTGTTATATGTGCGTTGAGTGATATTTTTGGACAAGAACTTAACTTTGGGCTAGAGTGAATTTTTTATGGAGTAGTACCAGTGCCTAATGTTTCTGTCTCTTATTCCACAAGAACTCCCAAACAAATGAAAAATTAAAATTAAAAAAAAAACAAAAAAAAACCTCCACTGAAGTATTTCTTGTTTAATTTGTAATTGACTAAAATAATTTATATACAGATTATTATTTTAATAGGTTCTCCTTTGAAGGAAGATATTTGATTCTTAGAACAAAACCTTGATATTTCAGTTCTATGACTCTTTCTTTAATGTTGGAATCTGAGCCTAAGTCTCACTGTGCAATCTATTGTAGGTAGCGTGTATGCAGCTCATCAATGCCCTTGTTACATCTCCTGATGATTTGGACTTCAGGCTCCACATCAGAAATGAATTTATGCGTTGTGGATTGAAAGAGATCTTGCCAGTAAGTGCCCTGCAGTCTCCTTATTAATATTTAAATTAGAGGAGTACTTGAATAGGGGGAAATTTAGATAAATTACCTTCAAGAATAATTTATCTGTGGGGAAAAAAGGCTTGAGTATAAAAATTTGTGAAATACAGATAAGATATGAGTATTATTTAACACTTTAAGTGTTTGAATGCTATAAATCCAGTCAAATGGTTGGTTTACTGTTTATATGTTTTTCATTAACTTTTTTGCATTATTAAAAAGAAAACCATTGATTGTCATTTCTATTTAATAACTCTAGAACTTAAAATGTATGAAGAACGATGGCCTGGATATCCAACTTAAAGTGTTTGATGAGCATAAGGAAGAAGATTTGCTTGAGTTCTCCCATCGCCTTGAAGATATTAAAGCTGAACTTGAATATCCTTTTGTTCTGAAATTAGTGAAATAGGAAAAACTGTTGCTAAACCCCAAACAACCAAACCTCTGAAGCCATTTCTATATAAACAATATAGTCAAATCTTTATGAATCAGACAGATTTTTTAAAAATTTTATTTAATTATGTTAATCACCATAATTACATCATTAGTTTTTGATGAGTGTTCCATGATTCATTGTTTGCGTATAACACCCAGTGCTCCATGCAGAACATGCCCTCTTTAATACCCATCACCAGGCTAACCCATCCCCCCACCCCTCCCCTCTAGAACCCTCAGTTTGTTTCTCAGAGTCCATAGTCTCTCATGTTTCGTCTCCCCCCTCCGATTTCCTCCCCTTCATTTTTCCCTTCCTACTATCTTCTTTTTCTTTCTTTTTTTTTTTTTTAACATATAATGTATTATTTGTTTCAGAGGTACAGGTCTGTGATTCATCAGACACATGAATCACTGATTTTTATATAAACTTTTTTTTATTAGCGTGTGTGTGTTTCTGAGTACATGCATATGTAAATCAATGTTACAACCTACAGATGGATTCTATTAGGGCCTCGTGTGTGTGTGTGTGTGTGTGTGTGTGTGTGTGTACACTATCTGTTTTTTTCTTTTCATGTTTGGCACCTCCCCTCTCCTAGTGCTTTCCAGCATTGGGAGTAGGGTATCCTTAGCTTGCTGGCTGGCTCCTGCCCTACACCTTGGGGGCACACTCACATGGGCCTTTGTTAACTCTGTGGGTCTACAGATCTCTGTGCTTTTCCAGAAATCCACCAGGTTTCTGTCCTCCACTGGGGCTTCTCCATGGTGGATAATGCCTGGCACCAGCTCTCTTGATAAATGCACTCTGAAAACCTAATATGGTATTCACAACCAGCTGCCCATTACCCTTGCCGCCAGCAACATCTCAGCTTGAGAGAGGCACATGTTTGGAGTTGATCATGGAGGAGAAGCCAGGGAGTGTCAGGTCAAGTTGTCATTTGCAAAATGTTTTCCTCTACTCTGAATCCTGGATACCTGTGTTTTATTTGATGTTAAATATACATGATGCTTATTTTAGGCTAAGGCACATAATAATCTTTTGAAGCCTTACAGAGTAGATTCCATGCCATGTTATTGCAGTTGTTTGGTGTAGACGATAAATAAATCGTGTATTCCTTAATCAATTCACTGAAGCATATGATATTTACAACATGGTGTGGAACTCAGTTAAGGAAACTAGAGCGGAGGGATATTTCATTTCTATTCTTCAGCATCTTTTGCTGATTCGAAATGATTATTTTATAAGGTAAGAGGAATTATTTTATAAGGTAAGAAGAAGCTGTGTTGTAATGTTTTCTTTCACTAATAAAATTTTATTAATTGGGAAAATCACCTGATGTTTTATTTGGGCAAGCAAATAATTTTCAGATTTTTATTTCTGTCTTAATATTGACTCATGGAATGTGGCGTTTCTTCTGGGCATATATTTAGACAGGTGATGGTAAAATGATATTACTGTTACGTTTTAAGCTCCAGCAGATTCTTGGTAACAAGTTTTCACCTGAATAAAAATGCGAACTAGCAACAAATTACCAATTTATCATGTGATGGATAATACATTCTGGTTAGTGTTTAGGTAGTAGGAATGATGCTGATACGTTTCTTTTTATAAGTTACATGAAGGGTACTAAACATTGCTTTTATTAGTGTTTAGCTAGCAAGTGCCTTGATAATACATTGTAAGTAGCTAGCAAGTGCCTTGATAATACAGTTGCATTTAATGTTGCTAATGTATCAGAAAAGCTAGACAAATAACATTTCAAGTTTGATTATATCTTAGCCATCTTGAAGCTTAACAGATTGTTTATCCCGTCTGTATGTTGTCTATCTGTAGCTGTGTAAAGATATTAGCCCCTAAGTTGCTCAGTTGTTGTGAAGATGGAATATAATAGCGTGGCTAAATCTCTTAGCCAGATATCTGGCACATGGTGTATTCTCAATAAATGCTCTCTATATCCTCTTTGCACTTTGTTACTGTTTTATGAGGGAAGCTGAGATCCTTGAATATAAAACCATTTTTTGTTGCCTTTAATTTAGCTTTGCTGAAATTTCATTTTCAAATACTTCAGGTAGTAAGTCTTTTCTTACTCTAATTTCATGTAGAAGAATTTGCTAGACATGTCTCATTCAGGCTGTGTCCTCTGGGTGATGTCAGAGGGTGTAATTTAGGCTTTTGATATAACTGACAAGTGAATAGAATAAGAGTCAAAAAAAGTAAAACTAGGTTCTTTGGGATGAGTATAGATCATTCATCTTATCTCCTTTTGTAAATACTAATATAAAATACTAATACATGGGCAAAACTATTAATAAAAATACTAATACATTGATTAAAATAAAACTATTAATACATTGATTAATATTGTTAAATATCAGAGATACCTTGCTGCTAATTATACTAATATGTTTTCCAAATGTTCTTAAAAATAAAATTGAAACTTCCATTTGCTCTAAAGTAACCCCATCCTTTTCTTGATCCCTGTGTGGTTGGTTCTGTCAACCTCTGATTGTTTGATGCTGCTTGAGTTTTCAAGAATTCAAGAATATTGTTTGCTTTCAAAGTTTTTCAGTGTGTCTTAGTGCTGCCAGGGTTGTTATATCTTACTTTTGATCCCTTAATTTTACCCTAATCCCTAATTGGTGCTCCAAGAGCATATGCAGTTGTCTACCTTTAAAACAGATTGAAAAGCTCAACTCTCCTAGGACCTGCTCAGGCAATCCTATCACTTCAGTGGAATTAAGAGTCTCAGAAAAATATTAAACCGTAGTATCACCAGAGTGACATTAGTGAGGTATAGAAGGTTAGTTATTTTGGTCATTTTTCAAGTATCACATTTTTAATTTGATACGTAACCATGCTGCATTCTTCCTTGACTCTTTAAGCCCAAGGACCTTGGTCTTTGTTCCATATATGGTCCCTGAGAAGGCATCATTCTTCCTGTGACTGCTGTAATCAAGACTGTTCCATCCATTTTTTTCCCCATGTTCCTAAATTCTCATGGATATTTATTATTGTTATTTATTCTTAGAACATATTTTTATTATAAGATTGAGTCAGATTAGGGTCATTTACATAAGTTTTCATACATTCATTTAAAAATTCAGCTTTTTATTTACATACAGTAAAACTTTCACTTAGTGGTGTGTAGTTCTATGAATCTTGTTCTTTTCGTTTTAGCTTCATTTCTTTCGGTTTTCACTATCGTAGGTGGACCTGGATTTTACCTTTTAGAAATCTTTGATTATCTGAACATTTTTTGTTTAATGAACATTCTAAACACATACTGATATAGTTTTTTAAAGGTTTTTATAAATGGCATTATTTTAGAACGCAAGATATTCTCATTTAAAAGAATTAGTGGATAGGGAAATTAGAAAGTTTGCTCACCTTCCCATTTGGAACAAGAGGAAATTTTACTGAAGTGGAACTTGATTGGAGAATGTACATGAAAGGTAGCTCCTGGGGTGCCTGGGTGGCTCAGTCGTTAAGCGTACGCCTTGAGCTCAGGTCATGGTCCCAGGGTCCTGGGATCGAGCCCCGCATCGGGCTCCCTGCTCAGCAGGAAGTCTGCTTCTCCCTCTCCCACTCCCCCTGCTTGTGTTCCCTCTCTCGCTGTGTCTCTGTCTGTCAAATAAATTAAATATTAAAAAAAAACAAAACAAAACGAGGTAGCTCTTGCCCCCAAGAAAAATGAAATGCGGAAAGAAAATTGGAGGGTGGAGTAGAAAATCAAATTCAATTCTGTAACAAATACTCAATGGCTTACATGTGCAAAATTTTATGCTAGTTGAATGTGCATAGGAGATAATTTGATATTTGGTAAAAATACTAAAGAGCAAGTGAAGATTTTAAAATTCCTCCAGCAAAAATGATGTATCAGTGAAGTAATGACAATTTATATTCATCCCTTAATTAGGTTATTCACATTTTCTTCTGACATATTTACTAACTCACCAACATTGCTCATGGAGATTATTTTCTAGATTTATATTTCTGGAATCCAGAAGTACATTATTTTTTTGCTAGTGTTGCCTTGAAAGAGGTTTTGCATGAAATTTCAGCTACTTTGTAAATGAGCTTATCATTGGGAGCTGTGAAAATGAAAATTTTTTTTAAAAAAAGGCCTTAAAATAGCATATGTTGTTAATTTAAACTTGTTTTTGTTAAAAACATACTAGGGTAGGGGTGCCTAGGTGGCTCAGTCATTTGAGCATCTGACTTCAGCTCAGAACATGATCTCAGGATCTGGGATGGAGCCCCAAGTCGGGCTCCCTGTTCAGTGGGGAATCCGCTTCTCCTTCTTCCCCTCCGCCTGCCCTCTCTCCCTCTCTCTCTCAAATTAATAAATATTAAAAAAAAAACCCAACACTAGGATAATATTGAGTAAGAGTAAAAAAGGAATGGGATGCATCATCTCGGTTTTCAAATGTGATAGATACGAACGTGTGCAGTTTATGTAACCTTAACTGTAAATGTGGTTGGTTATTATGGCAAAGCATTAGGGAATGGGAGACTAATTTTCTGAAAAAAGTTTAGAACATTGAGGAAAGCATTGGTAATACTATCTTGCTTTGATATGTACCCAAGAACAGTGTCTTAAAACATTTTTAGTTTATGACAGTCAATGACCACTTGTCATCTTTGCTAATGTTGCTGTGAATTTTATTCAGTATAATGGGTCATTAGGTGTGAGTTAAGTGGATGAAGGACAAGTAGGTCACGGTTTCTAGGGAGGAGGAGCTCAAGTGACTAGAGGCACCATCACATACGCGATGAGAAAGATTGGGAGAGGAAATGTGTGCTAAAAGTCATTGAAGGAAGAAATAAGTCTTAGGGGTGGCTTGGGGTTGAAGGACTGACCTCACTGAGATAGCAGCCACCCTTTCTGTCACTTCAGTTTGGTTTTGTTAATATAATCTGGGTATTTCTTTTTTTTCTTTTTTTTTTTTAATCTGGGTATTTCTTTTAAATTTGTTGGCTTAAGTTTTAAGGGACGTTCTTTTGCTTAGAACAAATATAGGTGTACTGTAGTGAAAATATCCCTATTGGGGAATTTTAGTTAAACTTTAATTGTTGGACAGAAAATGTTGTACTAAATTTTTTCAGTTGTCTTTTGAGTAAGAAATATTCATTTGGTATTGTATATAATTTACAGTATCGGTTTTTAATTGGACTCCACAAACATTCTAAAAATAGTATACTGTATAGTTCTAAGACCCTTTCAGGGAATTTTTTTTGAAAAAAAGGTATGGGTTTTGGCTTGTGTTAATAAAATGAATAGTGGTAGATATTTCAGTATGGTATAGTGGTAGGTTGATCTCTTTTGAGGATTGCTTTTAAGCACATATCACTTCATCTTTTTTATTGTTTACTAATTAAATCAAGGTTCTGACTTCTGTAAGCTAATCATCATTAAAGCATTATATTTGCTAAAAGAGATAAAAATTTAATATCTTAAGATCATTAGAAGGAAAGTGATGACCATTGTATTTACTCTCCTGTGTTAAATCTGACATGTCAGTTGTTGAAACTGTACAAAGGTAAATTACTGAACTTGAAATCGAGCTTACCAAAATGCTTTGTTTTGACGTAAAGTTACACTAATAAATTGGGTGTACATTTATTCTTTTTCTTGGTTTTAGGCAACAATACTTCAAATTAATTGATGAGTGTGTATCTCAGATTGTATTGCATAGAGATGGGATGGATCCAGACTTCACATATCGAAAAAGACTAGATTTAGATTTAAGTCACTTTGTTGGTGAGTATTTAATATTTAAATGGAAATCTTTTATTATCCCCTACCCTGCCGGTCACGTTTGCAGCATTGCTTCTAATGGTGTGATCCTGTAGAGTCCTGAGGGCCCTCAATACCCTCCTTTTCAGGGGCCTAACAATCCTAAGACCTTATTTGCCTTTTCCATTGTTTTGATACTTGTGCTGGTGATGAAAATAATGGTGGGTCAAACTGCTGGAACTTGGTTAGGAATCAAGGCAGTAAGTGACACCAAACCGTGTTAGTAGCCATTGTATTCCTCACTCTGAGTAAAACAAAACAATAAAAACTGCTGTTTTAGTTGAGTGTCCTTGATAACTGGAAAACACTATTTTATTAAAAATCGAACCCTCGAGTACGCATTACTTTAATATCCCCTAAGACAAAACGAACTGTCTTTACACATTTAGCACTTCCACATCCCAAAGTATAATGAGCACATAGCTGTGTATTTGCTTAAATTGTGAGCTGAATTGGCTGATTTTTGCTTTGAAGGAATGATTGTCATGAAAAGCTGGGGCTACTCAGGCATGACTGTTTTGGCACACACGTTTCTTAAAAATGAAATGAACCAGGTCAGGGAAAACAACTGATAGAATTTGTTACCAATGATCAAATTCAAGCTTTCAAGTAAAAATTTGAGTTTTGGAAAACTTGCATCTGCTACTGTTAGCTTGACAGCTTCCCAGTACTCAAATTTGTTTCTGATGAGATCAATGGTGATTATTTTGATCCTATATGATGAGATGTGTCAGCATTTGGAGACTCTGCATGACTCTGCAAACCACTCTTTTCCACATTCCAGTGCCTGATACAAATTCTGCATGGGTAAAGAATTCATGGATTTTAAAGTAACAGAGAACAAAATAGTCATTGATACGTGATCCCACATAGCAACTAAGGTGTAAGGAGTATGTGTAAGTCAAATTTTGGCATAACATGAGAAAAGAATATCCATTATTTGAGTGAGGTGGTTTTTTCTTTATAGGATATTTGAATCCAGTAAGAGGTATGGAATGTATAGAATGAGAAAGAAACTAGATAATATTAGTGGCACTGATAAAGAAAGTGCTTATTTCCCTCCATAGAAGAGAAGCAATTAGAAGTTCCTGGTAGTGGGAGGGATAGAGAAATGAGGAAAAACATCCTGTAAATACAAAGCAAGCTAAAATGTGGAACAACTTTGAATAGTATCTGAAAATCCAGTTCTTCCACCTGGCCATTAGGAATGCTTTTTCTTGAGTAGATGAGAGGTTTAGATATTGAACCCTTGAGAAGGAAATAGACGCCATGACTACTGCTTGGCTCTATGAGTGAACCATATTTACATAGTTATAACAAGTACCTTGTATGTGTTGATTTTAAATGTTTACACAAGACTTACAGACACAGTACAAAGGACTTAGAGAAGAGAATGTCAGTGTGTTCACGTGAATAGGTGAGCGTGAAGACCTGGGGTTCGGATATTAGGGTAGAGAAACGTTGGAAAGTATGGGGCACAGATAACTTCATATATTAGAGTGGAAATCAGGAGATGTTGTTTTCGTAACAGAGGTCAGAGTTTTAAATATTTAGTGCTCCAGAGCCAGCCAATTTAGAAAGCAAAATTATTAAAATAAATAGGATTAGACAAGGAACACCATTTTCATCTTCTTTAATAGGAAGCTATCTATAATGTATTAAATCAAGAAATTATGGTATATACATTTTATTTAGAGATAGGAAGGTAACTGCCAGAAGATAAAAGAAGAACTGTAAGAGGTAGCAGTTTGGAAGTGGAATTGAGTTTTTAATATAGTGATTTGTTTTACTTTTCATCATAAGCCTTCTGTAATGTGTTTTTAAAACTGTGTTTATGTATTACTTTTATTTAAAAAAAGGGATCAACTATATCACGGGGAATCTATATGAATCACTTCTTCTGCATTGTATCCCATCGTGTGCATATATATTGTAGCTTATTTAATCTATTATTGATGGACATTTATTTCCAGATGTTGGCTAACAATAGAACATCCTTAAAGGCACAGTCCTAACAATAGAATTGTTGGGTGAAAGAAAATGCATATTTTAAATTTTAGTACATACTACCTCATATTAACTAGTTATCATTAGCAAAGTTCATTATGCTTCCATTACACTAGTGTAGACAAGTCAGTTTCTCTGTGCCATCTACAACGCTTGGCATTATGGATCATTTAATCCTTGCTGTGTCTCATTAAATAAAATTTGTATTTTTGTGTTAGGTAAAGTGAAATACCTGTTCATATGAGTTAGCAGTTGTTAATTTTGTTGTTCCTAATTTTCTGTTCATTACTGTTGCCCGTTTTCCTAGCTTGTGTTGGATATCATCTTTTTTTTTTTTTAATTTTTTTAAAGATTTTATTTATTTATTCATGAGAGAGAGAAGCAGCATGAGAGGGGATAGGGTCAGAGGGAGAAGCAGGCTCCCCGCTGAGCCGGGAGCCCGATGCGGGACTCGAACCCAGGACTCCGGGATCATGACCTGAGCCGAAGGCAGACGCTTAACCATCTGAGCCACCCAGGCGCCCTGGATATCATCTTCTTCAAAATATTTATGGATTGATGATAGAAACCTTAGAGTATTCTTTCTTATATTTGAACTTTCTCCTCCTTTTGTCTAATAGTTTGAAATTAAAGTTGGGTTTGTCTTTACCTTTCTATTTTATGGGCTTGGTGTCACACTTGGAAAATCCTTCTCCATCCCAGTGTTAGGTTTCTGTTTTGCATTTTTTATTACTGGCATTATTTCTAATTCTTTTCTATGATTTTCCTTCTGAACTTTTAAAGTCCCTAATGATTTTAAGAAGTACTGGAATAAAAAAAAATTGTCATCGCAATTTCAGATACTTGCATAGATCAAGCTAAACTGGAAGAGTTTGAAGAGAAAGCATCGGAACTTTACAAGAAAGTAAGTAATTTTGACCAACTTTGCAAGACTCCATGAGGAGCCTCCTCAGGCATGCTTCTGCGTCAGGGACTTTGCTTGGTGTTCCCACTCTCTCTTTTACCTCCTTTAGGCAGCACAAATGCCATCCCAGAGGAGGATTTCTAGACTACTATATTTAAAAATTTTAACTCTCTACTCCCAACCCTGACCCTGTTTTCTTCTTTTTATTTTTTATTTATTTTTTTTAAGATTTTATTTATTTGCGAGAGAGAATGAGAGACAGAGAGCATGAGAGGGAGGAGGGTCAGAGGGAGAAGCAGACTCCCTGCTGAGCAGGGAGCCTGATGTGGGACTCGAACCCAGTACTCCAGGATCATGACCTGAGCCGAAGGCAGTCGCTTAACCAACTGAGCCACCCAGGCGCCCGACCCTGTTTTCTTCTGTTGTATTCATTATCTGACATGCCACATGGTGTATGTATTTACCTGTGTGTCCGTGGATGTATTCTTTCTTCCTCTAGAGTAAACTTTAGGAAGGATTTTTGTTTTGTTTGTTTATTTGTTTGAAGGATTTTGTTTATTCACTGTCCCTACACCTAGAACAATTCCTGGCCCTCAGAACTTTAAAAAAAAAAAAAAAAAAAGGATGCGTGAATGAATAAATGAACAAAATATATAGACTCAAAGTTTTAGGATTGGAGTATTCCTCAAGAACTCCTGTAACTTAGGCCCTTAAGATCAAAATTATGTCTAAAAGTTTTAAAAGGAAGGTTAATTTTTGTTTTGAGTAAAGTTGCTTCCTTAGATTTAATTGAACATATAAAATTGTCATTTTTATAGGTGAAAAGTATCCAATATTACCAGTTCTGTTTGTTTCCTCCCAGTAGTATTGCTGACCATCCAGTCATTCTCTGCTTTTCTTTAAGGTGGGGTTCTGTGGTTTCATCTCTGCTCAGTATGTATCTGTTAGACTTTTTCTCTGTTTTGAAAAATTTACATTTCTTCACATTTTAAGTAGTCACTCTGATTTAAATCCTTGTGGCTGGTTTCTCACATCAGAGGAATAAATGATAATTACTACTACCAGCACCTGAATGAACATACACTAAATGAACATTTACTATGTGTTTGGTCCATGCCTGAGAGGCTACATTTTTGATCTATCCCAACTCAGATGAATTTTGTTTTTTAAGATTTTATTTATCTATTTGCCAGAGAGAGAGACAGTGAGAGAGGGAACACAAGCAGAGGGAGTGGGAGAGGGAGAAGCAGGCTCCCTGCCGAGCCGGGAGCCCGATGTGGAACTCGATCCCGGGACTCCAGGATCATGACCTGAGCCGAAGGCAGTCGCTCAACCAACTGAGCCACCCAGGCGCCCCGCCGCGACCCAGATGAATCTTGAGAGAATTGTACATTTTTATAACCTTTTAAGATAATATAACTTGCAAATAGTAGACAGTCTTCCATAAGTTACTGGGAATTTATGAAAAACTTTGTAAATGTCCTGTATAAGAAGTCCTGAGGTTCACCACTTAGTGAGAGATGATTAACTCCTGGGCCTCTGGCTGCAGACTAGGATTACAGCTATGAATATGATACTGTCATTGCCCTGCAGTAATGTAGTAGACAAATTAATGGATCATTTAAGTTAAGTGTCATATGTGTTACAGTTGGTAGGTGATCATGTTGTAAGGTGACCCCTCACCCTGACCTTGTATTCCAAGCTCTCTACTTCTCTACTGTTTTAAGTCTTCATGAGAAAGTAGTAGCAAACTTTCAAATACTTGATTTGGATGCATCCCAGATAGTGTAAATTTGCTCTTACAATCATTTTTAGGTATAAGGTATATATGAATGTTGCTAAACGTGATACCCTTCTCAACATATTGTTTTAAAATTGTAAAGTTTAAGTGTAAGTAGAAGAAGGACCTTGTTCAAGGTTATTTGTCTCCTTTTAGTCAGAAGTTATGTCTTAGGTATATTCAGAAAATATTGTTTGCTCCATAAAAGATTTCTATTGCCATACCATTTTGTATATATCAGCAAGAACTTCTTTCTGATAGCTTTATAAGGACACATGTAAATACTTTGCTTTAGGCAGGAAGCTATCATAGTTGCTAGACACATTCTTTATTTTGGTGCATAAATTTGAAAAATGAAGACCAGAAATGTCAGAAAGTACATAGAGAATATTGAATTATCAACCTTCTTGTATAGATGCACTAATACATTTACCCTAGGGAGTGAAATTAAGCAGAGCCTCAGCCTTAACTGTGTTTCTTGACATTTTTGTGTGTAATTTTGTAAGCGTAATATTGCTCCAGTAACTCTTTTTGGAGAAGAAGGCTATCATGTCTGTTTTAATAAAGTACGTCTTTAATGGAGATTCATTTTATCCCCAAGGCTACTGTGATTTGACTATAGATACTATAAAAATGCTAAAGCAAAGTTTATATTTTGTCTGATCCTTTTAATAGGGTAGGATGTAGAAATTCCTCTCTTTGTTAAGTAATAGAGATACTTTAAGTAAGGCCAAGTTAATTTAATAAATTCTTTTAGAGTATACTAATTATGGCTCTGGTAGTTTTGGTAGTTTTATCTTTGTTCCAATAAATAATCCTTTTTCCTTCCAAATCTTATTCTAAGCCATATGAGATAGGATAGTGTACATATTGATATTGTGAAAAAGACTTCATTTTTACTCTCATAAGAATTTAATTTTTTATTTCTTGCTAAGCAGCAGTAAACATTGAGCAGTCATAAAAGGGAGAATAGAGAACATGACCTCTCAAAGATTTTTCATGCTGGGAGATTGAAGAACTTTAATATATGATATTGACATATTTATTCACAACATATAAAGGGAGATTTGACAGGAATTGGCTCCATCTGTTCATTCCAGAAATATTTATTGAGTTTAGTTATAAATGTAAGGCTTTGGAAAGGTGATGAATAAAATATTCAGCTCACTATTAATAAGCTTCCAGTTGGTGAATGTTACTGAGGTGTGTGATAGTGCATTTTGATATTTTTATATGACAGTGTAATAACTGTTATGGTAGTTAAGCCCAATGCTGTGTGTAAGCCTATAGAAAGGATTTCTCATCTAGTCTTGGGTGGTCAAGGGAGGCTTACCCAAGGAAGTGATTGATAGCTAACGTGAGGCAACAGGCTGAGATAGCCAAGGAGGTATATGGAAATTTATTGTGAATTTCTTATAGGCATTTCAAGATTAATACTTCTGAAACCAAATTCATTTTTCTTTTCCCTAAAAATGCCCTTTCAAGAGTACCTGGGTGGCTTTGTCACTTAAGCATCTGATTCCCTGATTTCCGTTCAGGTCATGATCTCGTGGGTTGGGAGATCTAACCCTGCGTTCTTGGGCTCTATTCTCAGCGGGGAGTTGGCTTGAGATTCCCTCCCTCTGCCCCCCCCACCCCCCGCTTTCTTGCTTTCTAAAATAATACTTAAAAAAAATGCCTTTCCCCATGTATTTTATATCCCTATTTTCCCCCCTAAAATTCTAATATTTAGTTTCCAGTTTGCAAAGCAATAGAACACCATAGTCATCTTAGATATGCTTCGCTCATTCATTTCCTATGTTCAGTTGTACACTAATTTTTTAGATTGTTTAAAAAAAAAACCTTGTGTTTTTTTTTTTTTTTCTTCCCCATTCCTCTGTCTGCTTCCTTTGTTCAGGCAGGCCTTCAGTTCTTGCTTGGATAACTGCAGTAGCCTCTAAACTCGTTTTCATGCCTCTGGTGTTTCTCTTTCATTCCACCTTCCACCCTGCTGCAGGTTGGGTTTTCCAAAGTGCAGATTTGATCATGTTAATTTCTTATAAGTACTCTTAATAACTCTCCTTGGTTTTCAGGCAAAAGGGAAACCTTTTTGGCTTATTGTAAAATTCCTTTGAACAATTTCATTCCTGTCTACATCAGTGACTTCATCCCTGGGGCGCCTGGGTGGCTTAGTTGGTTAAGCGACTACCTTTGGCTCAGGTCATGATCCTGGAGTCCCAGGATCGAGTCCCGCATTGGGCTCCCTGCTCGGCCGGAAATTTGCTTCTCCGTCTCACCCTCCCTCCTCTCACGCTCTCTCTCTCTCATTCTCTCTTTCAAATAAATAAAAATCTTTATTAAAAAAAATGACTTCATCCCTTGCAATTTCTTCTCCTCCCTCCTTTTATGGCACTGACACATGGTTGCTTGTCATTTATGCACTGTGCTAGACCCTGTCTTTGAAGTGTCCGCTCCCCTTCCCAGCTAACTACTCAAGTTCTTTAAACCTGGGGTCAAGCATCCTTCCTCCCAGAATCACTCTCTGCAATCTCTTTTTCTCTTGTGGTAATTTTCATAGATTTTGGATTATTAGTTTGCTTTTACTTTGCCACCAGACACTACACTTACTAAAAGCCATGACTGTGTTCTGTTCAACTCTATGTCTAGCACCTACCACTTTGAGGAACACATCAGACACATTCTATTACTTAATATATGGGAATTAGGTAGTTTGGGGTGAGGTTAATGGGAATTAGGTAGTCTGGGGTGAGTCCTAGGAGGTTCCTAGATATTAGGTTAATGAGTGTAGCCTTTAAATGTAGCCACTGAAAGTTTAAGAGCAAAAGGAGTCCTGTTTTTTGAGCCAGTTCTTTAGAAAGAATAGCAGTATTCAAAAAAGTTTGTAGGGGGGAAGATAATACTGGTTTTAAAAATACTGGTTTTGTTGTTTTTTTTTCCTTGAGAAATGTTCATTAAGCATTTGAAATACATTTATGGACTAATTAGCTGTGTGGAATTCACATGAGAAGTTGAGCTGGTGATAGGGATTTGGACACCATCAGTGTATGAATGGGATTGAAGCATGTGGGTGTGGAAGATACCATCCTACCAGACATGAGAAATGAGACCAACAGAGGGGTGAAGAAAGAGTGTTATACATGGAAATGTTAGAAGGTGGGACTGAAGAATAGGAACTATAGAAGAATTGGTAGGAACAGTCAAGGAGTTAGTAGGAGAACCAGAACAGTGTGTTGTAATGGAACATACTGGCGCACAGAGATGAATATGGGGGCAAATTTGCTTACACTAAATCGTGGGGGACGCAAGACCTGTGGGGGGGGGGTGGGTATATGAAAAATCTTTGGGAACTTTTGCCTAATTTTGCTGTAAACTTAAAATGGTTCTAAAAAATAAAACCTATCTTAAAAAACAAACTATAAAACAGTACCTAAATGTAAGTTGTAGGAAGGTGGTGTGTTTTCATCTAAACTCAGGGTTGGAAGACAAAATCTGGCTTTTAATCTCACATCTTCACTTACTGGCTGTATAATGAGGAACTAGTTAACCACCTCTTTGAGGTAGGGACAAAATAAAATTTGTAAATAAGTACCTTCTGTAAATGAGTTTTATATTACTGTTTTTTCCTTAATTGAGGTTTGACTGTATTTTAAAGTCTAAAGGCTACATTTGGGAAGTTGTTGTGTATTTTTTTGATTTTTTTTTTTTCTTTTTAAAAGAGATAAATGTTCTTTGATTGTGAGACACTATGCTATTGAAATTCACCTCTGCTAGGAGAGGTTTTCAGTCACGATGATGACAGGGTGAAGCTATTTGAATGCAAGATGGGAATTTGTGATGAGGAGCTATATAAATTAGAAAACTCATTGGATTCACCAAATTTTGCTGTTTGCCTTCCTCCCACAAGGTATTGCACCAGGGTCTTTGAAAAATTAATTTACCATTAATCTCCCAAAGTTGAATCTCCGAAAGATTCATGATAAATAACAGATTTTATTATCTTAAATTATTGTTGAAGGTTAGAGCCTACATCAGGGCCCTTAACTTGCATAATGATGTAAGAAAAAGATGCATTTACAAAATGGAGTCATTTAATAATAAAAAATACTAAAATGGAATTCTTTTAATTCCTATTGATAAACTTTCCATAAATTTTAAGTAGAAGTTTTTGCAGGTAGGGGTCATGGAACTCAGTGCAATGCTTTGCTATTATTGTACACAGAGTTGCAATGATATTTAGGGACTTTTAAGAAAAATGTCAGTGTTGAAGATCCCTCTGAGCCACTTTGCTCTGCCGAGAGGAGAAGGTCACACCATCTCTGGCTTTGTCTGCTCCCTTGCAAACTGAATGATTTTTGGTGGGACCTGGAGGGACCTAGAAAAAGGCTTTCGGTGACTTAGCAAGATCTGCCATTCCTTTCATAAAAGGTTTGTGTTCTACTGACAGATCATTAGAGTCCTATTTCTCTATGAAGAATAGTGCTTTTCAATGCCATCTTTCTGTCTCCTGGTTTGTTTGTTTGTTTGTTTTTCCTTTGCAGTTTGAAAAAGAGTTTACCGACCACCAAGAAACTCAGGCCCAACTGCAGAAAAAGGAAGCAAAGATTAATGAACTTCAAGCAGAGTTACAAGCTTTTAAGTCACAGGTAAAATACCATCTTTCTGGATTGAATTTGGGTATTGAAAGCTTACCAGGGAAGCAAAGGTCATGTCATATCTTCATAGCTCAAAATGTTTAAGCTTTAATTTCACTAGTATTTTTTAATAGTATTGTTTATATGTATTTCTATTCTGTAAATTTTTTTTAAAAATGACTTCGCCACTTTTTTTGTACTTGGCATTTTTAAGAATGTCTTAACTTTTACTAATTAATCTGCTTATGTTTCATTTGGGTTTTGTTTTTAATGTCACATGTTTTATATGTAATCATAAAGGGTAAGAAAGTCTTTAACTCTTAGATTTGTCATTCATCACTGATCTTTATCCCACTACAGGAAATTATTGCTCGAGCTATTTATTTTTCAAAACCTTCAGCCTATGGGTACCTTGCAGTGAAAGATAACCTCTAGCTGAATGAGAACATTTTCTGATAATTTTTCAATTTCCAAAAGTAAACAGATTTAAAACATGACAAAAAAGAGAGCAAATCTGGATTATGAAGCAGATAGCTCACATACACCCTCTACATATAAAACATTTAGATAGCAAGAAATACATCATCTGCATGTTGTAAGTGGATGACAGTAAAGAGGTAGAATATTCATAGCTAAATTTCTTCATGCAGATTTACATATAGGATGATGAGCAATAAGTATAGTTTTTGCTCATTTTCTTTCATCCTAATTTATGGTTATGTCGAAATAGTCTCAGATGTACCATTTCCTAGATCGGTGTACTATTTCCCATATTATTGGCTATTTTGTTTTCTTTTAAATACTTAGTGGATAGTTTTGTTACAGAGCCTGTAAGAAGATACCTGAAGAGATAGCTATCTGTTAAGTGTTCAATTTTAGGCAAAATGAAGCTCTTTTCTGTAAGAAAATGACTCTCAATGATCTTTCTTTAGTGTGCAAAAAGGAAGTACAATTTATTGAAACTTTTCATCTTTCCCGTGTGGCTCCTTGTCTCTCTCACACTAAAAGAAATATTTGATTGTGTTTTATTATTTCAGATTGAGTTATAGACAGTGGCTGAGATATTTATGTAATTTTATATTTACACAGTGACATTAAATAGGCATTATTTGAATTAAAGTGTTGAGACGAAGCCCTTTTCTCTCGACTAAGGCTTTCTGGTTTAGAAATTTGGTTTCTCTTGGTCTGGGCTAATATAAATTTAAAAAACTTTATTTTTAATTTGTTATACTTGAAGGATTAGTTGTAAATCCAATCTAAAGAATTCCTGTCAATTAAAAAAAGAAGATAATCACCAGCTTTGGATATATTGCTGCGTGTGTTTTAAATAAATATGGGAATGAATTAGTTTTAAAACTGAGATTAAATCCAGGAATCTCCTATGTTATTTAAGAATGTGGAAAAGGATGACTAGTTTTGTACATCAGAAGCAAGCCTGGAATTAGAGACAGTATCGGCCACCCTGTTAATTTTTGAAGAACAACAGGAAATTTTTTTTTTAATGGATTGGTGTGTTTCTCATGAAATCTATTCATTTAAGATCCTTCTCTTTGATCAAAGCCATAATGATTATGAAGGGTATGAACAAAATATATTCTGTTATCTGTGATTTTATTCCTTTATTCACTTAACTAAATGTTGTCGGGTGCCGGGGCTATAATGGTGAGCAAGTTAATCACAGGTTAATCTGGCCTCATGAATGATATATTTAAGTCAGCCATCTTCCATCAAATGAGCTAGTATAGAGCAGAAATCTAACCATATCTTTAAGACATTAATAGTTAATTATAAAATGCATATTGAGTGTGAATATAACATACATACTTCTTTAACATTCAGAGGGCAGTACTATCCATTCTAACAGCAATGCAGCATAATGCTGAATTGATTCTACTTTATAGTTAATTTTTTGTTAAGATATGTTTGATTTGTGGTTTCAGTTTCTTTTATAACACTTTTTCTTTGTGCTGATCTCAGAGGTCAATTTCAGGCTTTTATACATGATCTCTTTTCCATAATTGTGCAATGAAAGTTTTAAAATGATTTATTAACATTTACTAAATGCCACCATTTGCAAGGGGTGTGTGTGTGTGTGTGTGTCTGTCTGAATTGAAGTAATTACAGGAAAATAATCATACTACAAAAAATTTATCAACTCTCGTCTTCTTTATGATAATTAAAATGCATTTATTCTTTCCATGCCATAGAAACAAAAGGACAAAAGTGACGAGTGGACATACTTGGCTCTTTTTCACTCCTGATTTTGCATTGCTTCTCTGTAACTTTGGACACTGTTGAATATCAGCATGCCCCTGCTTCACTTGTGATTCATGAACCTGTACTTGTCTGCTTTTTCTCTCATCTTTCATCCATTCATCCTACACGTATTTCTTCAGTGGCTGTCATTTGCCAGTCGCAACCTTAGGTGCTGGGAAAAGAATAGTAAATTCTACAGACTTAGTCACTTCCCTTGTGGAGCTTATAATCTCTCAAAGAGATAAATGCTAATGATTGATTCCTTAAGTATTGAACACTTTGATAAGTACAATCAAAGAGAAGCAGTGCTATCAGTGTAAAAGGAGTGGTCAGATGAGGCTTTCCTGAGGAAGGGAGGTGCTAAGACTGAAAGGACCAGCAGGAAGTGATCCATGTGCGGAGACTCGAGTTCCAGGCAGAAAGAATAGCATGTGCCAAGGCCCTGAAATCGCTGTGAGGTTGGCATCTACATGGAATTATATATGAAAGCCACTTGAAAGGCCAGTTAGTTCACAAGGATCATGATGTGCCCCTGCAGGTCCTACTTATGAATTTCAGGTTTTTTGTTTTTGTTTTTTTTTTCCTCCTCTCAGGGTCATTGGCACATGTCACATGATGTGACAATACTATTTAAGTCTGTCTTGATCTTCTTATTGTTTAACTTCTCATTTAAATGCTAGTATTCCATAGAATTCTGTACATAGACTTTTCTTTATGCTAGATGCTCTGTCCATACTGCGTGAACTTAGCTACTCTCATGACTTGAACTATCACCTAGAAACTGCTGATTTTCAAATCTTCTAAACCCATATACCCATATCCTTCCTGGATATCTCCACCTGCATGGCCATAACTACCAAAATAGGAAATAATATTTCTGGCAATTACACTTTTATGAAAACACAAGTGAAATTCTTTAACTGGGCGGAAAAAACCCCAACTTGGTTGGAATTTTGTTTTTTTTGGTTAACCCATGTGAAATTGCTGATAGTGAATTATCTTTGATTTAAAATAATAAATTTTTGAGCAAAGTGTACTTCTGCATGTGTTGTAGGTGTTTTTAGTCATGTTTCTTTTGTCCTCTTCTCTAGTTTGGTGCCTTGCCAGCTGGTACGAATAACGCTTTGCCGCTGTCCAGAGAAAATGGAACTGGCCCCCCAGCACTGGCTCCTCCCCTGCCGCTGCCCTCCTGCGGAGGCGGGCCGCCTCCACCCCCTCCCCCACCCCCCCCCCCCCCTCCCCCCCTCCTCCACTTCCAGGAATGCCAATGCCCTTTGGTGGTCCTGTGCCCCCACCACCTCCCCTGGGATTTCTCAGCGGGCGAAACTCTCCTCCTCCACCAACCCTACCATTTGGGTTAAAACCAAAGAAAGAATTTAAACCTGAAACCAGCATGAGGAGATTGAATTGGTTAAAGGTAAAACAGAACTAAATGGAAGAAAACATACTATCACCTACATTAAAATTCAATTTTATATTTACACAGTGACATTAAATAGGCATTATTTGAATTAAAGTGTTGAGACAAAGCCCTTTTCTCTCGACTAAGGCTTTCTGGTTTAGAAATTTGGTGAGAGTTAATAATTGTTAAATGGGATTTGATTCGTCATCAAATTGATAATTCAACATTATCATCATTGAACCCTTTATGAAGTGTTTCTCAAAAGGACAATGTTAGTGATCTTTGGAACTTTTCTATGTGGGTAGCCATTGGAAAAACTGATACTAGTTGTCGGAGGTTGATATTTAGTCAGGACATAGAAATTCTGAATTCTGTAGAAAGATGGTTTCATGGTCAGACAACCTTGGGAGGGGCTGTGTAATGTATCCTGCACTTGAATTGTTGCAGTGCACACGAGCATTATTAAAAACTCTGATAGGTATAATTAAGAAGCAACAAATTTTATTTCACTCTGCTTCAAACCCTCAACTATGTGGTAGTGGAACTCCCCACTCCCCCCTTAATAAAATTTTAGCTTCCTGGGGAACTTGGATTCTGTTGAACACACTTTGGGGGAAAATATTACAGGGATTGCTTCATAAACATCTGCTGGCAGTGATGGGACCCTGGGTCTGAGCATAGTGATTGCACTGGGAGAGGTGAAACACCCAACTATTTATGAATCCATCTCTCTGATTGCAGATCAGACCTCATGAAATGACTGAAAACTGTTTCTGGATAAAAGCAAATGAAAATAAGTATGAAAATGTGGATTTGCTTTGTAAACTTGAGAATACATTTTGTTGCCAACAAAAAGGTATGTTGAACATAGTGCTTATTTGTTAATTTTAGTACGTTAACACTGCCGATTCTTATACATTAACTTCTAGAGAGCATTATTTTAAGAGTCCTAGACATGATATTTTTACTTCACTAATGGTTAAATTATCTAATGAAAGGAAATGTTTAAAATACAGATTTTGTTATTTGGATTATCACATGAGCAGTCTTTAAAATGCAAATGTTTAATACAGAACTTTGTCAAATTTTCAGTATAGTATCTTTTGAAGGTGTTCTAAATTGGACTTTTGAAAAGGAGGATGTTTTCACAGAGGATTTTGGCATGAGAATTCCTTTTAGTCAATGGGACCTAGAAAAACAAACAAAATGTGAGCCTTTTTTCTAGTTATAATTTTACCACCCTTTAATATTAGAGTGTAGCAATAATTAGCATGAGTCACATGGGATAGAAATACCAAATTTATAGAATACCTTGAAGGCTAGCTTAAAATAGAAATATATGAATAGATTATATGATCTTTTCATTAAAAGTAATAGCATTCATTTCCAAAATCTTTTGTGAAAGCTTTTACTTGTTTGGTGTGATATTTTTGTTTTGTTTTTAAATAACTCAAACATTATTCTTGCCTCACCACATATGTTTCAGAGTTGATATCCACTTAAACTATTAAGTTAATTTTTAAGTTATGTAATGCTTACATTTTAGGCCTATATTACAAGGTACTTATATCAGTGATTACCTTTTAATTTTCAAAAAGGAAACTTTTTCACCACAAATTATGCCACTTATGACCCTGGGCTCATTGAGCACAGATTGCTGGAGAAGAGAGATTGTACTCCAGCTGGAGATGGGAAGGCTTGCTGTAGAGAGGGAAGAATTAACTTCTTAAAATACCTATTATGGGGGCACCTGGGTGGCTCAGTCAGTTAAGCATCTGCCTTTGGCTCAGGTCATAATCTTGGGGTCCTGGGATCGAGCCCCATGTCATTGAGCTCCCTGCTCAGTGGGAAGCTTGCTTCTCCCTCTCTCTCTGCCACTCCCCCACCCCATTTGTGCTCTCTCTCTCTCTCTCAAATAAAATCTTAAAAGCTACTATGTGTTAGGCACTGTGCTATGTATCTGATTTAACGTGACAATCACGGCAATGAAAGGATATTGGCAGATACTAGAAAAAAATCATTTGCATTCCTTTGAAATGCTTATAAAATATAATTGTAAATTAGAATCTCTTTCTAAAAAATAATGTAAGTTAGAAACTCTAAATGGTATTTGTAAATTAAGGTGGTTTTCCAGAATTTGGGATAAACCCAGAGCCTTCAGCAGATATTTTTGGGCACTGTTCTTGACCAAAACAGTAAAACTGATGTAGTTTGATCTTTGAAAACAGTGGGAATTTTCTCAGCAAGCTTATCCTAGGAAAACTTGTGAAGTAAGCAGATCTTAATTTTACCTTTTGATTATGGAGAATGAACATTTTCTCTGAATAAGATTAGTGTGCTCTTCAGGCAATCAAGGAAAATATATGGCAGTTAAAATGTGTATTTACATGTAAAACACTTCAGAATTTCAGATTTCGTAATCTGGAATTGATTAGTTTTCCCTTTGCTTTCCTAGTAGGTACAAATGGTGGTACCTTAAAGCTATTTAAGTAATACTGCCATCCAGCTACTGTCTCTTTTTTTCTCTTTACTCTGATTACTTTCTTAATTAATGAGGCTCAAAAGGGAAACTTGTTAGCATGTCTTTAATTTAGCTGTAGTGCTAGCCCTAAATGAAATAATTGGACCTTTAAAAAAATTCTTAAGTCATCTAACTTTAGCCTTGAGATTCAAGGTTGAAAAAAAAAATGTATTTGCTGAATCTAATATTAGTTATAAAGGGTAAGGTGAGGGAAGGATGATCTTTTTGTGAGTGTTCTGTACTTCCATCATTCTCTGCCTTTGGACATGCTGTCCCCTCGGCCCAGAGTCTCTCATTTGACTTAGAGGCTGGCAGAGACCCATGACTTCTATTGTCTCAGCTCAGATGCTACCTTCTTTCTTCAGTGACAGTGGAGGATACTTCCATGGTGACCAGGAAAGGTGGGGAAGCCCAAGGTTGTTCCCCTGGGTGATGCCAACATTTCACAGTGGCAAGCTGAGAAGGTGACAACTTTTTGGTCTGGATTTTAAAGAATAATTCCTAGAGAACATTATTCAAGGAGAATTAAGAGTGCTTTTTAGCATTACTAGTGCTTAAGTATTTTATTGGAAAACAAAATTGCTGCTTTCAGAAAAGTAGGACTTCCTATAGCTATTATGTAGTAAAGATCAGAAAGGAAGGCCAGAGGAGAGTACCTGGAAAGCTTAGACAAGACTGTGGGCTGGTGGAGTGGACATGTTTCTCCTTGTCTCTTTATTCACGGCCTGGCCCCTGAGGCTTTAGGTCCAAATCCTAACTTTTTGCCCATCTCCCGTGACTCCAGAGGTTACTTTGAATCAATTTTGTGATTTCTGCAGAAATAAAAATTAAACCTAGTCACTTATTATTCAGTCCAAGATGGCCCTACAGTTGCTCTCTGCTCCCTAGCTGGCAGGGGTAAGGGAGAGGCATTGCCTCCTGGTTGATTTTCATCACTGGTTTGCATCACAGTTGAACACGGAAGGACCCAGGATTCCCATCATTGGAGACTCTACGGGGTTTTTAGAGAACTAGTGTATCTGTTTCTCATTGTAGTAATTCTTTTGGCGAAGAACCAGGGCATTTTGTGACAACATGGATGGACCTGGAGGGCATTATGCTAACTGAAAATAAGTCAGCCAGAGAAAGAAAAATACTGTACGATTTCTTTTATATGTAGAACCTCAAAGCAACAAACAGTAAAAGCAAATTAAGCTTATAGATCAGATTGGTGGTTGCCAGAGGTGTGGGTCTGGGAAATGGGCGAAGGGGGTATAAATTTGTTAAACAAAAAACCCAAAGCTATTTCTCGGATTACAAAGGTGGAAGTTCCATCCCAGGAATTTAAAATGGTAAATGTCAGTCAGTTGTGCTCCCTAAACGTTTGAAACTGGTAGAAAGAAAAAAGGAAACTGAATTCAACCATTTATTCTCTGTTCTAATCACATGCTCTCTACTTTGTTGTTGTTGTTGTTACTCATTTTTATTATTTTTTTCTTATGGAGGACACTGCTTTGGGTTTTACAAACTTTCAGGTTAAGATGACTGGGTTTTAGTGGTCTTATACCGTGAAAGTTGGAAAGGGAAGAGGGCCTAATTGTGGCCTAATAGTACCCATAGAGCACCTGTGGTTTACCACTCCCTGAGCTGGGCCATCTTCACGTTACCTTGTCCAGTCAGGACCACATCTCTACTGAGATTTTTCTTCTGCACGACAGTGCTATCTCCTCAGAATACCACCCTGGCCCGTGCTCTGGTAGACATAGCAAGATCTTCTAGGTATGAGCTTTCCTGGCTGATTCATGTTGTTGTTTATAATATCTCCCCCGCTGCCCCTCCCCGCCTCGCCCCCATCAGATTTTAATAATGTTGTCTTTTAAACTAACCTCCCTGTGATGTTTTTAACATTGCTTTAATAGGGAAGTGCCTGTGCCCTATCTTGAGGAATATAAGGAAACGGTCTCAGCCTTTTCTTGTGAAATCAACATGTTTCCCTGATTCAGTTTGTATCACTTTCTCTTCTGTACCTTATTTTGCAATCAGGTATCACTTTGGTTTCCTTGCCTTTCTCAATCCTAAATTTTCGAGTTCTATCTTAGCTTTCCATATTTTAAATTCTTCTGAAAATAACACATAGGCATTTTCCTGGTCATATTTTTCTTTCTCGCTTTCTTCCTCATTCATTGCTCCCACCTTTTCTCTTTCCTATATTTGGCTACTGCTGTTCAAGTCAGCAAATATTTATTTGGTATACAGTGTATGCTAGGCCTTGTGATTAGCACCTGGGACACTGTTAGAGAGAAAGGCAGACGTGCCCATTCCTGTCTCCGTGAAACTCAGTCTCCGTGAAACTCAGTCAAGTTCTCCCTCAAGTTGAAGCATAAGAATGAGGAATGGAATGACAAATGTTGATTTTGATATAGAAAGGGCTGTCATGTTTTACTCGGGCTCCTGTTAAAATTTAACAAGATTATAAAAGAAAATTGTGTATATATCTCTTTGAAATGTAATCACAATATTCATATATTGAACATTTGGTATCATCAAAATAATGCTAATGACCTGCATATTTTTTACCAGATTGGAAGCATCTGTTGGCTAATTTTTACAGGCTGTTGGAAAATGGATTAAAGTATACTAACAGGTTATTGGTGTTGGATTTACCAGCTAAAATTAATATTAATTTCTTTCATTATTCACAAACTATTAATGGGGATTAAAGGGCTTTCTGAAAATACGTGAATAGTCTAATTCACTTAGACTGATTTATTATAAAAATGTGATTCCACAATTGTTAGCTTTCTGAAGTAATCACATTTTATAACAGGTGCATCCTATTTGCCAGATAGGGCTAATAAACGTTTATAAATTTCTCAACTGAACAGTTATGGCATATGGAAACAGTTAATGGATTATGCACTTAAAAACAAATCAAGCTTAGATTTCTGACATCATAGTTCAGTGGACAAAGTATTGAAGTAGGGAGTGATAAACCATGGATTATCCCAGGGACTTGGCTGTGTTCAGGATGTCGCTTTGTATTTGAAACACAATTTATTCCTCTGTATGAACAAAAGTGTATATATAAAAACAAAAAAAATCCTAAACTACCTCACAAGACTACATTAGGATGAATAATGTAATTTATAACACAGTGTTTTTGGGAATGCGTGTTAATAGAGAGGTGATGCCAAGATGAATGCAACGTATCTTAAAGTTTTTTGACAAAAAGTGTTTTGACAAACACTAATTTGGAAAGATTGAGGAGGAAGTCCATGAAGAATTAAGTATTTCCCTAGGGATTTACCCTTCGGTTCTTGTCTGTGTCTGAATCTGAAAAGAACTAAAGACTTAAG